AACCCCAACCTCGCGATGGTGGCTAATGACCTTGGAGTTGACTTGGTATGTCCACTGCTTTGTACCATGCCCATTCTCAAACTAACATGGACCAGATCATACCTCCTTCCCTTCATTCAGCTAAACAAACCGACTTCATCTCTCCGTCGTTACTCCCAAACAAACCCAGATCGACATAAACAACTACAACACCAACGACTCCTACACATGCCATTCCCGGCTTTGGCCCTGAACTAGCAGCAACATCGCATCGTCCTTCCGGTACACCATTTCCTACTTCGACATCGACTTCTTCATTATTCTGTAACAACAATTGCATCTTGGGTGTTTGGATTCTTCTTTTGCTGTACAATAAGAGAATGTGCAATGGGCATGGCAACGATTGCTTTCTGGGGATATAGACGGCGTTTTTATAGAAAGCAGGGCCACTTCATAGCCGGGTTTTCGTTTGGCGCCTTCCAGGCGAGATAGATGGGCATTGCGTCGATGCATTATTGGATTCGCTTCCATACGACATGTATCATAGAGTAGATAATGAGTAGCCACACTCCGTGGCTATGACAATCGCACAACTTCAAGTTCGAAAATATCTTGCGCAATGAAATTGGGCTATGAGGAAGAAAGGTTCACGTTGATGGGATTGTTGAACTGGGTGTTCGCTCGCGTATCTGCATCTCTACCCCACGCTGCCTGGCCCAAGCCTTGGCATAGATAATGAGATTACTGTACCGCGTGGACGCGCCTACATGCTTGCTTCTGCTCCCCGTGGGTGCCTGTATCATATATGCGCGCATTTGCGTCGTAAGCAAACCTCCAGGCAGCTTTTTGTACATTCTCAAAATACCTGATGACCTCGCTACCGACTCCCAGGTCTCGTCTTTCGACTCGAGCATGACGTTCTCCCGCCCATAGTGCTCGGCTTATGGACCCCGCAGCAGCAACTAGACGTTAGTCACAGAAACCCAAAAACAGAGTCACGCACGCGCACAGCATGGAGATTTTCACGGCTCAGAAAGCAACGTGCCGCCTAGTCGACCAGAATGAGCACCACCGGCGCGTCGTGCCCAGGCGCGAGCAGACGACTGGTGCTTGTCACCAAGGTCTTCAGCGACCACGATTCCTTCTGGCGTGCAAAACGGAGCACAGTCCTTGAAAGTCTTGTCCTTGCGCCTGGCTTGCTGGTCGCGGAAGAGCCAAGAGCACGGTCAATATAAGAAGTGTTGTGACTGCCATCGCGTCATCACTTGGGCCTTGCTCAATCTCTCTCACCTTGACGCTTTGTACCCAAGTAACCGCTGCGACTTCACGGTTTGCGCCAGCGAACACACTCCTGCAACAGCAGCCTGCTATCAATCGTGCTCCCAAAGCTCATTACAACAACAATTCGCCCAGGATGACCACTCGACCGAACGAGTACCAGCGTGTTGCGTCGCACGGGCGCGGAGGTGCTGGTAAGCCTACCTATACTTTCCTCCAGACGTTAAGCGCGACTCCGCGACGCTTGCAGTGGAACGGCTGGGTCTGTCTGTCTTTGCAGCGCACACCAGCGCGCAAAGACTGCCTCCCTCTGTCGCATAGCCAAAGCAGTCCTTGGAGTGCCTGCGATTGTTCACCAGCTTCTGCGTCTGAGCGACCACTGACGTTTGCAGGCAACATCGCAAAAGACGACCCTACCAACTACCCCAAGCCAGAAGATCTCGTCACCCCAACCCTCAAGTCCAACACCTACACCACGGGCCGAGGTGGAACTGGAAACATGGCGCGCAACGACCCCGAGCGTCCTGACCTTGCGCGCGCTGCCCAAGACGTCGAAAGTAAGCCGCACCCAGAGCCACAAGGCCCCAAGCACTACGGTCGTGGAGGTGCCGCCAACATTATCGGCGATGGACAACCCGCGCAGCGAAAGAGCGCCGAGGCTAAGCGCAAGAGCGAGGACGAGAAGCGCGAGGACAACGGCAAGGGCCTGCTCGGCAAGGGCAAGGATTTGTTGAACAAGTTGGGCAAGAAATAAGTCTGACCTGTTCAGCGGTCAACGACATCATGGTACATTGTAGCCGTGTATGATGCGCTGCCTACCTGGAGTGGTCGATGAGGCTTTCGGTTTCTCTTTTACGGTTCATGATATCCCCGGAATTGCAAGGCTTTTGGTCTGTGGGCGGAGGAGTTGGTGTATCTTTCTATGATTTTCAACATTGTCTAACCTAACTAGCATAATGGTATTCAGTTGCTTGATCATCCTACTGACTGCCATGCTTGGTTAATCAGCTTTTCGATGCGGCTGCCATGCCATTCTTTCGAGATAGCGTGCTTTCTCATCACGATAGTGTGTTGATTGGGCGTCCATGCATACTACGCAGGCGTCTTCCAACGGCCTGAGAGTGCCCAAGTATTACATCATCACATGGCCGATCCCAACATTCATACAGTCCCTTCACCGCTTACATACGATTTGCGCACTAATACTTGCTTTTCTCCTCTCGTTAGCACCATCGGCAGTCAGTTATTTTAGACCTCGCGAAATGCTTTGATAGGACGATGCTGGTATTCCGCACATAAAGGGTCTTCGGCAAGAGGCAAGCGTCATGCGCGGGGGATTTGCAACCCGGGACAACTACCCACAGCGGGGCACTCATCCTTCTACTGTTCCATCAAGACAGCGTCATGCGCATGGTCTGAATGCACCTTCTCGAAGCCTTGCACTGCAGTATCGCCATGCAAGTCCCAGGAAAGGTGTTCCGAGCGAATGTGTCACTTCCAACTGCCGATTCTGACGAGCACACCACCACATACGAGCCGCCCTCTACCAACGTGGTGGACTAACAACCCATTCCAGTCGCGCTCAACTCCGGTATCCGATGGCTCGGTACGCTATCAACGCAGTGCGCCGCTCCTCCATCACCTGGTATGGTCCTGTCTTTATGGAGGGTCGTCCGACCGCTACACTGTGGCTGCAGATAATGCCTCATTGGGATGCATGCTTTTGGTGGGGGGTGTAAGGGGGTGACGTAGAGAGTCCAGCGAACGTTCAGCTGATATGCGAGACTGTCGAGAAGAGACACCATCTACGGGGTTGAAACAGTACTTTGATTCGCGCAAGAGGTAGACAGACGCAGTACTCCAGAGTACGCGAAGCAGTTCGCATAGAGCAACCTTACTGTACTCTTCCGCATCCTCTCGAGGTCCGTATATGCACAGCATCGGTCCTATACCAGCTCCGGATCTTGCTCCGCTTCACACTGTCCATACGTAGGCAAGTAGTCCGGTGAGCGGCGATAGACCTGCCCGGCATGCGCTCTTGTCCGAGGGCGTGAACCTCGGAATCTTGGGCATGATGACACCACACCGTTCATGCGTAGGTATGTGGTTTGTCCAGCTTACGACAACTACGCCTCATTGTACGACGTGGGCTGGCACGATTGGTCTGTAGGAGCCCTCGTGCAGCCTTCAACTTAGCCGACGTTTTTCTTCCCAGTTGGATGTGATTCGGCTTATGATAGGAAGAGTGTCGGCTTGCGTATTAAGGTTGCGGTACGTCCCGCTGCAGTGGACTACCGGCTTTGTATACCTTTTTGCCTTCGCAATTTCTTGCTGCTTTATATGAACCCACTCCTCAAGACTACCTGAGCAGCAGATAGTTCATCGTTTATCACAATATGTCTACTACTACTACTATCGAGACGGAGACGTACACGGATACATGGGTCCATTACCATGATGGTGGTGTTCCTGGTCGAAGACCAGTTCTCAAGGGCACCGCTGCTAAAGAGACGTTCACCGAACTACCAAAAATCGACTTCAGACGCATATACTCGGACGATCTGGAGGATAGGAAAGAGCTAGCCAGAGAAGTCGGCGTCGCATGTCGAGACATAGGCTTCTTCTACGCAGTGAACCACGGGGTGGACGATGATGTACTGGAAGACACTTTCGATGCGTTGAAGGAGTACTTCGCGTTACCAACCGACGTCAAAATGGAGACTCACAACCAAAAGACGGAAAAGTTCAGGGGTTACGAAGCTTTCTTGGAAGGCAAACTCGACCCAAGTACACGAGGAGGTAATGTCTTCACTGCCTCCACTCACACAACCACTCATCCATCTAACACCACTATCTAGATCTAAAAGAAGGCTTCCTAATGGGCGAAGACTTCACCGACTCAGAACAACTCTCCCTCATCTCCTCGCTCCCTCCCTCACCACAAACCCCGCGCAACCAATGGCCCAGCCACCCGTCCGCCCTCTTCTGGCGCTCAGCCATCTACCGCTACTACAAATCCATGTTCGAATTCAGCAAACGCATGCTCCACATCTTCGCCCTCGCTCTCGACCTCCCCGAAGACTACTTCGACACCATAACCACACACCCCATGACCAACGTCCGCGCCGTCCACTACCCACCCCAAGAGCGTCAAAGCGACGTAGGAATCGGTGCCCACACAGACTTTTGCTGGTTCACGCTCGTGTGCCAATCCAAAACCGCATACCCAGCTCTCGAAGTGCTGAACGCGAACGGTATCTGGGTCCCTGTCCACCCCCAACCCAACACGTTCGTTGTTAATATTGCGGATTTCCTCAAGTTGGTTACGGGCGGCTCGTGGCAGAGTACTGTGCATAGAGTGAAGAATATCGGGGGCGAAGAGAGGTATAGTATGCCGTTCTTCTTTAGCCCGAATGAAGATGCAAAGGTTAGTGTTGTGCCGCATTTGAGAGAGGAGGGGAAGCGGTACGATGAATTTGGTGTTGGGGAGTATTTTCAGAAGAGGTTGGATATTGATCGGAGGACGCATTTGAGTGAGGGTGAGAAGAAGAAGGAGGAAGAAGATAAGCCAAAGAGGCCAGTGAGGGAGAGGAAGGACAGTGGTCTCTGAGTATGCAAGCTTGGTCAGCATGTAAAGTAGGATGAATTTGATCGGACGCTGGGGCCGTTATGATACCCATGAACTACACATTATAGACATGAGAAAATGCCACATTTCGTAAATACACAAGACTATACCATCATCAGGCATGACCATTCCGCCTCTTCGCTTCCTCTAGCGCCATTCGTAATCGATTTTCCTTCTCTGCGTCCTCGCTACTCTTTCCCATCTTCCCCTGCACCAACTCTCCGATTTCAGCCTCATCGCTATCCAGCACACTAACCCTCCTTTGAAACTCCTCCAACAAGTCCTTCTCTGCTTCCCTCTTCTCAGCCTCCAATTCGCGTATGCGCGCTGGATCTGCACCATCGGCTGTCACTTGCGCAATCTCCGCGTCGATGTCGGCGTTGTTGGATTCAATTTCCAGCGCGTTGAAAAGGGAGAGGAGCGCCTTGGACGATTCCTTCAGAGCCTTAAGAGCGGTGCGTGCATCATCGAGGACCGCTGGATCACCGCTGCCATCCTCAAGGTCCTTGATAGCTGCAACGATGTGGTCAATTTCTTTTTGCTCAGTGCTGACTGCATTGACAACCATGTCTCCGACAAGGCGGACAAGCTCGCCTACACGCTCCGCCTTCTCGCGCTTAGCTTTGAACACAGCTTGCTTCTCAGCGTTGTCGTAGTGTTTCTCCACGGTTTTCATCTGGCTGATGTTGCCAGCGGCGTACAGAGGTTGTGTCTCCGTTTTCTTGTAGCGTCTATCGCGCTCTGCAACGAGTTGTACGACACCATCGTGTCTCTGTTCCACTTGCTCGTGGATGTCTTTCAGGAGCTCGAAACAGTCTTTTGTGCTTGGAGTATCGGTTTCCTCCATGCTCTTGAGTCCAGCGACGGAAGATGGTAGTAGGCGCTTAGCTTCGACGTGCAAGTCCATGAACGCTTTAATCTCGCCATGTAGCCCGGTGAAGATGGGGTCGAATACGGTTTCCACATAGTCACGATATTCCTCTTTGTCCTCTTGCGCTTTGAGCTCTCCCTCCTTCTGCTTGAACTCTTCCTCGAGCTGATTCATCTCCGCGTACGAGATCTCGTTGTTGTTGAATAGATCATCGTTGTGCTCCTCGTTTTCTTCTTGACGCTTGCGACGGGCGTCGTCCTTTTTGCGGCGACTCAGAGATGCAGATTTCTCCCATGTCTTCGTAATTTCTTCGGCGGCGCTGGCTTTGGGTCCTATGTCAACGAGCCTAGCCCTTATATCCTGAACTCGGTGATTTGGAAGGCCGGATTGCTCCTTTTTGGATACTAGTTCCTTCAGCACTCTGTTCGGATTTTCTTTCGTTGGTGCAGTTGAGATCGGACGGCGCGGTGTCAGCTTCAATGGCGCTGGCAAAGGGACGTCTGCTTCGCTACTGGAAGGCCGGGAGGCAGGCGTCTGAGCAGTCGGTTGATGAGCTCCGAAGAATATCTCATCGTGCCCCTTACTGTTGCTACGGCCTGGCGGTGAAGTTACTCCTGGCGTATTGGAAAAGGACATTGTTGGTCTGTGTCTCAATGGAGCAGGGTCAACTGACATGCTAGCAGGTGGGACATATGCCTTGTATTGGTGTTGCACCTGCTCTTCAGGTGGAGATTGCACTGGCGTCTTGTTCGTATCATCATCAATGGAGCTTGTCGGAGTTAGGATCGTTGTTGATTGCACCGAAGGAGGCGCTCTTGGAACACCCTGGTAGTTTTCAGTAGGCGGAATCGTGGTTTGCCGCGCCAAGATAGGTCGACCGCCAGGACTATATTCGAAGTCGTCAAATTCCGCCTCCTGCGGTACCTGGATGTTCAGATCCTGTCTCTTAGTGGAGATGTTTGAGGTTGCACGAGAGCGAGCAGCTTGCTCTGGTTGGTGTGGTACCTCTGGATCCACTGGAACTGTTTGTGTTGAGGTATCAAGGGAGACGATGGCCCGCATGGCAGACTCGACTTTCATGAACGCCTTGAAAATCTTGACCTTCTCCTCGACTTGCGGTTCCGCGGCCTCACTACGAAGCATGGCTATGTATCGCTCTAACGAGCCAATATACCACGGATCAAGGTCCGGTATCAGATCAGCAGCTGTGGGTTTCGGCGGTTCTTTCGCCTTTTCGGCTTCAAGTTGGCGCTTTAGTTCAGTGACAGAACTATCACGCTCCTCAATATTGTGGTCCTTCCCTTCCACATCTTCTTTCAAAATGTCAATCGCCGTGTTCTTCTCCTTCACCATAGCGTCATAATTGACGCTAGCTTGGTCTGTGGTGATTCTCATAGTCTCAATCTGTGCACGTAACACGTCCATCTCGCTCGTGCTGTGGGCTTTCTTAGCTTCGTACTCAGACACGACTTTCTGGCTGCTAGCTTCAAGTTCATCGATCTTTGCTTGTAGTACGGCCTTTTCCCGCTCTGTATCTATGTGTAACTGTTGGAGAACATCATCCTTCTCCTTCTTCTCCCGTTCCATATCTGCGCGTAATTGGTTGATAAGGTCGTCCTTCTCTTTCAGTTCTATAGCATAGTCGTAGCTGGAGGATACCACGCCGGTGGATTCATTACTGGTTTGTGACCCAAAAAGATGCTTCGGTTGGGTAGGTGTGTGTTGCGACGTATCCCATCCACCCTCTGCGGAGCCAGTCCCAGTCATCAACGCAGCAGGCTGATGAGGGGGTTTCGTGCCCTGTATGGGTTTGGGAGTAGTCCGTAAGGGCGCGACAATTGCATCTCCGACGATGAACCCTTGATCTGATGACTGGGAATCTTGACGTCCAGCAAGTCCTGTTGCTACAGACGGCGGTGTGGGTGTAAAGCCTTCATCCCATTCGCTCGAACTCACGTGTGCAGGACGCACAGCAGGACTGGGGAACCCATGCGTCGATGGGGGAGGCGGAACGTAAGCGGGCAGCTCAATGCTTTCCGGTTGAGTACTGTCGCTTTTCTTATCTTCTTTCTTTGCACCAAAGAGCTCTTCATCGTCAATCTCCTCACTGCCACCTAGGTGTTCCCAATCAGAAGGTGCACCGGCAGCCAGAACACTAAACTTGGACTTGTCATCTCTGGGTGGAGGTGACGCGGGTAGTCTCGACTCTGGCGGTTTTGGTGAAGATGTCTTATTGTCTGCGCGTTGTGCGTAGAGGTTGGCCAAAGCTATCGAACTCACCGAGTCGGTGCGCCCAGAGATAGGATGGTAGCCAGAGGCAGAGCTCACACTAGGCCGATTCGATATCGGAGACACAGGCTGACTCTGCGGGCTTGGTTGATGGTAGAAGTTCGACCCAGCAGTATCGATTCGATTGTGTGGCTTTGTTTCTTGGCCCTCCTGGTACGAGATCTGGGAATACTGCTGCGGTGGAGCTGGTTCTTGCGCTTGGTACCCTGGTTGCGAGGGTGGTAGCTGAGACTCGTATGCCTGCGGTCGATTATATTCATAGCTAGGCTCGGGAGCTGGAGATGCAGACTGCCATGAGTCCTGAGGGCGAAATTGTTGTGGAGAAGGCTGTCCTTGTTGGTCGTACACAGATTGTCCATAGACCGTCGGTGCGGGTGGTTGTTGCGACGGTGCTTGGGGATATGAGGGCTGTCCAACCGATGGTTGCTGATAATGATGCTGCTGCGGTGATGGGAATTGACCTGACGACTGCTGGTACTGATTGGGTATCTGCGATTGCGGATTGTATTGGACGGGCGTTGAATGATCATAATGAGGTTGGTGATGGTTCTGGGGAGGGACAGCCTGTTGGCCATGCCGTGGAGGCAAAGGCGGTGGCTGCTGCTGTATATTCTGATGCTCCTGTGCATAGGTAGGTGTGTCTGCATGTGGTGTAGCATGGGTGAAAGTGTTCATGCCGCCTTGAGGCGGCGCATGCTGTGCCTGCTGCCACGAAGGAGCTTCTGGCGGGGGAGAAACGTATGCACCGGGTGTTGGATTCGAATTTGAAGACGTGTACGGTTGTGCAGCTTGTTGTGTGTATGCCGGCTGCTGCGCGCTCTGGTTGTCAATTGCAGTAGGTTGCTGTGACCCTACTGGTGGGTATGAGCTGACATGGCCTGCCCCATAAATGGAGCTGGGTCTCCCTCCCTGCGAAGACTGGAAGTATGTTGCGCCCGGAGTGGTTGAAGGCGGGGGAGGGGCTGCGTGGTGATATGGCTGTTGTGGTGTTGCTTGCACCGGATATCCTCCCTGCTGCGTATGAGGTGCAAAGCCGTTGCCTGGTTGCGATTGCTGTGACCAGTTCTGCTGCTGCTGCTGCTGCTGCTGCTGTTGTTGTTGTTCGTGCCGTTGGACCGCCGCTGCGAAGCCGTAGGGTTTGGGTGGAGGTGGGGGAGGTTGCTCTTGTTGCTGAGGAGGGTATGACTGATGCTGCGCCCCTGGCATGGTGCCATACGTGCCCGGATTATATCCTGCGGCTACCTGCTGTTGCGATTGATTCCATGGATTCGATGTGTGTGTCGGCGTGGGCGCAGCCCATTGACCGTGGGCTGGGGGAGCGGACGTTTGGTATCCCTGGGAAGCTGTACCATCGTGTCAGTGCCTCGCTCTGGAACTGTGTGCTATCGTGCATCAACATACCTCCATATCCAGGCGGCGGTGGCGGGACTGGTGGAGGGGCGCCCTGCTGGCCTGTGAAGCCCGTCGTGCTGCCTGGCCGCTGGTATCCTGGTGCTTGCCCGTAGTTCTGCATCGCGCGCGTCGTCTTGTCGCGTTACCGACGATTGTATGTGTCGCGCGAGATAGCGGATCGTTTTCGTCGGGAGTGTGGGCTCGAGATGCCAGCTGAAGTGCCTGTGTGTATTAATAGGCTCTCCACGAGTGTGACATGCACATGGACGGCACGCGCTGGAATGCGATCACGGAGGCAATTGCGGTGTATCGCATGACATTGATGAAGGTATTAAGTACAAAAAGGTAATACTGAGATACATCAAGCTGGGCCTCGTCTCCCCAGCGTAAGGCTGAAAGCTGAAGTCCAAGTGTGCAGAAAGTGGAATGGTGTCACAGCCACGCGATGATCTGCACGCCGCGGTTCGTCCCCGCCCGGGCGCTTGTGACATGATTTCCTTCACAGCGATCATCACCATTCAAGTCCTGCTCTTCCGTCTTTGATCCGCGATATACGACAGAACATACTCCACGTCCATCGCGATGGCCTCCAATGTTTCCTTCTGCTGGATACCCTTTGGTGCCTTTTTCGTCATGCCCCCCGCCGTGCTCAAAGTCATCTGCGCCATGTTAACAACATTAAACTTGAATGCGAAGTATGAAACTTACCATATCCCAACGATGACGGTCGCTATCGGGCGACTCTGCTTGCTGCGCAGCATCCCCATCGACACGTGTTTTCGATGCGCCAATCAGTCTCTCCAACGAGACGTAGGTTCCTTCTGTCAGCTTCTTTCCCTGTCGCTGCTTCTGGTTCGCGTCAGGTGTTGCGCCTGACCCTGTGTCCGACGGAAACCGGTAGAGTTGCGAAGATCCTTTCGTTTCCATCCGACTCCTCTCTTGCATGATCTTGACATCGCCAAATGATGCATAATCAATTGGAAGCTGAACAGTAAAAGACGAAGCGAGGTCAGAGAGACTCTCTGCTTTGTGAGTGTTCATCGTAACTATCAATGCATGAAACACACGATCTTGTAGTAGACTCAGCCCGGCTACCTTGGGCATCATATGGAACATCTGGGATACTAAAATGTGTCAGCAACGGTGCACACTGTCATGTAGCTTGCACAAGAAAGCGCTCACTAAATATTTCCACACTATGAATCCCCTCGTGGTGACTCACTGCTCTCAACGCTTCTTCAGGATCCCACCTCAATAGCTCAACAGCATCGAAAACACTCGGGGTATATGCAGCTTCGTTGCGGCTGTGATCTTTCGCCAAAAGATCGCCCAACTCGGAGAATTTGACATGATCGTTGCTGTGGGTAGAGGTTCTAGCCATCCAACTGGCTTGATTCAAGCATTTGATGCGCTTCTCGACCGAGACTGGGACTGGAACCATATCGCTGCTCCCTGTAGCATTCAGTGGCGGCATCATCACATGTCCATTGTCGGGGCTCCAGGTTCCACGCTTCTCGAACCCTTCGTCAAAGTTGATTCTTTGTACCTCGTTGAGAATATTGTCGAGGAACTGGGCTAAAGTGACATGATGATCTGAACTAGCATTATCATACGACGGATGATGAGGCAGATCGAGTTTCTTCAAAGGCCCCAAGGTCAGATATTTGCGAGCTGATCCTGATGTAGGAGAGATAGTAGTGTTACCAGGTGTCGGATGTGTACCAACTTCCTCGCCAAGGTCGTTCTGGGATTGCATTGGCTTGGACTGAGCGGAATCTCTGACTTCGACAGGCTCAGTCATGGTGGCGATTCAAGTAGCGGAGCGGAACTCTTGGAAATATGCAATGAGCTACAACAGGTAATCGAAGCGGGATAGCTATAGCTGCTTGGTGGCTGACAGAACAGGTGCGTCGAAGGTCTAGACCACTGCAATGCAAGAACTAGTGTAGGACAGCGAGTAGGTGACCCGGCTACCAACACAGTAGTTAGCATTGTTACACCCCAGTCACTGCGCCTTTTTACGTACATATTTCGGGAAGCCACAGGCTTCCTGCAAGGAAGATTTGTGGCGAATGTGATCCGTGTGACTGGTCTGACACGCCAATTTCAGACCTCGGGACGTACAGCGATGGTCTAGAATTGCGTAGAAGTGTGTGCACAGAGGTTTTAGTGCAGTATAGAGGCAAATCGATGAATGCCAAGCAGAAGCCAGATGGTGGACGTGATGATAGAGATGGAGTCGTTGCACTGGAACGGGAGATCGACAAGGGTAGATATGGCCCTGATTGGCTCGTTCCTGCCTGTGTGACACTACGATGTGCTAGCTGAAGCAGCAACCTTAGAAGCGTTTGCCATGAACTACATACTAGCTGAAAGAAATACGAAATCTGATTGCACGTAACTCGAAACTAGGATGAAAATTGGGCTTCGCGTTTTGCGAAATACATGCCAGTGACACGCAAGTTACGGGTCCAGTGCTCGGCAAATCAAGAAGTACGACGGGTCCTCCTTTCTATCTATGCTAGTAGCACAAGAACACTGCTACCTGGTGCTCTGAGAGTCTTCCTTGTACTCGTCGAGTATCACAAGCGCTTGTAGAGGGCCTACCTAGATAGGTACGTCGGGTACAGCGCCGAGAAGGTCAACTCCTGCGAACCCGACGCATTAAAGGGTGGTGTGTGAACCCAGGTACCGAAGCGAGTCTTCCTCGACATGCCTTTGATGCCTTTGGGTGTGATCATCTGCAGAATCTGGAAACCTGCAGCGATGCACGAGTTCGGGACAGCGGTCCAAGCATACCTACACAATCAACACGTGAAGCAAGAAAAGCAACCCTATGCCAGTTGATGTAACCATATCATCAAGATGAGAGCAAAATGAAGAAAGTGTGTAGATGCGGGCCGATTTCCAGTCCAGCATGCCGATCCAGACCAACTCGGCTGCCGACCTGTCCTGTTGACGCTCCGCGGGCGTCACAATGATCAGAACAACTGCTCCACGGAGCCCGCAACCAACGTCTGTGTCTGCAGTGGCAGGACCCTCTTTCGCGGCAATGGCATGATCCCTCGTTCCAAATATCTGGCTCGACTAACTTTGACTGGTCAGTCGAGCTGCAACTTGTTTACTCCACAGCACCTGCATAATGCACAGATGTCTAGTACACCCTTGCGCTTTATCTTTGCCCTTTCGAAACGATGTGCCGAAACGCTAATTTTACCATGTCAGGATGCATGCGGATGCGAGAATCAGGCAACACAAATCAGCTGTTTTCTCATGGTGAAATATCGGAACATGTATTGTCTTACTCCGTGGAAGGGCTAATGCCGCGGGGGCCATGCAGAGCGCTGTACGCGGCAGACGGACAGACTAGGGTCCTTGTGATCGACCCTGTATCCGAGCGAGCGCCCTTGCGAACGAACATCGACAAATGCGTTTGTGGGACTTGCTCTTATTGCAGATTGGGGGTCCTGCCTGCCATGTCGGGAGGCTTGTGGTGTGTGTGGGTGGGCTTACTCCATTGACTCGGCTTGCCGTTGATCTGCGAGCGCGCCGGCATAAAATACCGACGATTTGTATTGTCGCGGGACATCGTAGCATCTGCCACGTGATTGCTGTGGGTTTGCTCAAACCCTGGCCATGCGGTGCCAGACTAGCATGCCAAATCCTCGATGTTGGCAGACATGGATAAATCCCCCAAAATCCACTCAACACGCCACGCCAAGCGCATGATCTCGATGTCGCTCGGGCCAATTGACCGAGGAAGATCCACTTACGCATATGTACTGTACTCCTAGCTCTGGTTGCAGGCAGCAGTAGCGAGTTAGCTGCTATCGGGTGCATGCTTTCCATTGGGCGCTATTGAATCCGCCGTATGCGAACATTGTTACCGCCTTGCACGACGGATGCGCTTCTTGATCCCAGACAAGACTGACTGCCAATCACACCACATCATGCAGTTGACGGAATAATCCAGACTGCCGTTTAGACCAGCTGCACATGTTCAAGTGTTCGAAATGATTAGGCAGTGTCATTCAAGCGAAAAGATCTAGATTTCCTATGTACATCCTACACGCCTTCTTTGTCCTTGCATACACGCTCCACATGCAGAAATTCGTGCTCCTCACGGCATTAACCGTGGAGGCTGAGCCTTCGTGAACTCTACCATGCCAGGACAGGCTCTCTGTATGCACGTAGATTTCATCCGAACGGCGCGTGCGTTGCGGACTTAGAAGGGCCCGTAGTTCATCTCCAACACTTCAATCCTTGAGGTAGGGATCCATCCTCTGTATAATCACTTGGTATTCGATAGGCCGATAAGTGGACTGGTTGCGTTGGGGTATCATCTCGAAATAGCAAATAACAAACGAAAACGTAAAGCGTCCCCGCGCGTGCTCATATGGCTGATGCGCGGTACACGCATGGCAGTCATGTCGGTACTGACGTCTCGCAGCGAAACAGCTTGTGGTCGCATACGGTATGCACTGCCCACTGGAACGGGCCATGCGGACTGCTCATGCCGAATCATGTACTGTAACATTGGTATAGCGTTCAAAAAAAAAGAATCAAGGTGAGTTTTCGGTCTCGACCATGTCGTCGTCCGCTGCTCTTGATGCCAGTTCCCCTGCTCTTACGAGGACCGCAAGTGATCCCTGGTTACGATAGTCGTGAGGATTATGCGAGAGGTGTGATGATGGCATGGGCGGCATCGGCCGATCCAGTGGCGAGGCTAGGGGTGCTATACTGGGCACTGGCTGGGGAAGCATGCGCATCGTCTTACTCGGATCTGCAGGTAATGTCTGTCCAGGATAAGCCGACAAGGTGTACCCTTGAGATCCTTGATTGCTGTGACCACTCTCAGACGACAATGTCGTATCTTCGTGACTGAGCGGGGGGAGTCGCGCGGAGTCGCGCGGAGTCCTGCGAGAAAGCATATCGTTTGGCACCTGATAGTGATTTGGGTGGGGATATGGAGGTGGTGGCGTCGATGCAATCTTTTGGTGGAGGTCCAGGTTGTACGCAGAAGGCTGATGGTACGGATTGGCATCGAAGGGGATCCTCGTATCTCGAATGGAATTGGGTACGGACGTGTCGTAGAGACCGCCATCTCTTTGCAAGACCGTGGTCCGTGGAGATGCGGAGGTGGGGGAGAATTGTTCGCCCGAACGGGGGGAATTGAAGCCAGAAAGGGGAATGTTGGCCGGCGATGTTGAGTTCGAAGCGTAGACTGGGCCAGGTGGAAGCCGTGAAGGGGGGATAGGTTGAGTGGAATCCGATTTCTGTTGTAATGCTGCTTGGGCATCGGACTGAATAGAACTCAATCTTCTGTTTGCTGGGGGGTCGGCCTGTTCATTGCTACCTCCTCGTGTTGAAGTGCTGGTTTCGGTTTCGAGCTTTGAGCGTTTACCTTCTACACATGTCAATACGTTGTGGTGCATGGCGACGGAAGCTGTGGACAGACCTTTAGTGGGCACTGAGTGCTTCGACTTGAACTCTTCGAGATACTTTTGGTACGCCTCGAAATGCGGCGTCTTCTTGTACTCAGCCAGCTCTGCATAGTACTTCTCTTTGGCACCGTTGGCCTGTCGTTCGCAACCTTCGCGCTCCTCGGCAGGCAAGACTTGCCATTTCTCACCGACTACCTTGGCAATCTCGGTGAAAGTAAGATCTTGTCCCTTGAGTGACTCTCGCACCTCTGCTGCGAATTAGTCGTGTTCACGTTGGACCAGACACCAGACTTACGATTGGAGAATATGACGTAAGCGGAGGGTGGACGTTCTGGTGCATGTTCATCAGGCTGCGTTGGGTTAGCAACGTTGCACGACAGACGGGATCTGCAGAGTGGGCTACCTTGGGATGTCGACGGTACTTCCGCTTGGCCCCTGTTCCATTCGGTGCGGTATTGGTAGGCTCTGGCTGCTTGCTTTTACTCTCTGGCCCCGAGTCGTCACTGCGATATGAGCCGGCAGTGCTTCCAGCTCGTGCAAGATTGATGGGCAGAGGCCTATCCGAAGACTGTCCGCGCGACTCGGCGATGGCCCGTTGAAGTTTCTACGAAGAGATCAGTTGTTGCTAGTGGTAACGTCGCAGGATAGTGACGTACCCGACGATGGCCAAGCTTGACGTTGAGGGAACTTCTACGGAATAGTAAGCAGGGGCGGCTTGGGTAGGTAGGGGTGGAGCAAATGCGCACAAGTCTGATTCTGTAATGTCGAGCACAGTCTCCCAAGTGTCGAAGCCTTCGGCTGTGAACACTTCGTGGTACTGGGACAGTCCCAATCGCGCGAGACGTTCTCTCAAGTCGCTCATGTAGGAGGGCGTGAGCGCGTGGACTGGGTGGTGTGGTGTAGCGACCAACTCTCGAACAGCGCGGGCCAGAGAGGACTTGGTGTGTCGTAGATATTAGAGCACTAGTGAATGGGGTGGGAATCGAGCGTGATCGAGCGGGCTCGAGTATGGCGGAACTAGTGTACAGGGATCAAATAGGAAATGCCTAGGTCGTGGGGTGGCTATGTGATTGGTGCGGCACGAGTGTGGCGGATCGACTCGTAACGAAAATCCGCGTAGGGGTCAAAGTGTTGCAGGGCGCAGATGCGCAGAGAAGAGCAAGAGAAGGAGCAGTCAACGACTAAGGTGCATCCATATGTGGTGGCGCCTAACGTTGGGTTTGGGGTAGGTGGGTCCCGGACCGATCAGCAGAATTCTGTGATTATGCTGTGGTAGGGGCAGGGAGGGAGCGTCTCGGCTACTGTAGTGGTGAAGACAGCGGACGCAGTCTAGTAGATACGCGGCCAGGACAACGGCCGTCGAGAGTCAGCAAGCGGCCGGAGCTCATTTGGCGCGTCCCAAGCGGTGGTGCGCGCTGAGCAGAGTCGCACGAGGCCTGGGTTTGCGGTGAGAGCAGGCAGTTCCGGGCGAGAGCGGTGCAGGAGTAGGCCCAGGGCAGAGGGACAGGGCTAGCAGTAGGCAGGATTCGGCGCAATCATTGCGGGCTTGCAATTGGCGCAGGGGCGGAGCAGAAGCAGACGGCGTGGACGAGGGATGACGCTGATGATGGGACGATGGGGTTTGCGAAAACAAGAGTCTGGGAGCCAGAAAATAAGGACGTGTGACTGTGCAGCAACACCTAGGCCAGGGCTCTTGAGATCAGAGCAGGCGATCGGCGGAACAGACAGGCAGAGGGCGGCCAGGGGGGCCACGGTGCGAGCGAACGCTCCAGCCACGTCTTCCGGACGGGGAGCTCACTGATGCGGAATCTTGTCCTGACGATGACGTGGGCTGATAGGCTGCAAGGCGTGCGGGCAGCGGGTGATGCTGTCAAGTCTACAGAACATCTCACGCAGAGGCACGATCGACGAAACGCCGGTACCTACAGTAGGGCCGGTTCGCATGAGCCGGCGACGTCCTGGGCTGCCATGTGCGCTGCCAATACACGCTGACCGTAATTGCAATCTCGTAACAACCATGGAAACTCCCAGATGCCCATCGCAGCTCGTGCCGTGCGCCAGGCTGTCAGAGACTTGCCACAGTGCAGCGCAGGTGCCTTGCGTCATGTTGAAGCCATGATGGCATGGCTATTGCCATTGCAAACACCGCTGTATAGCCGAACAGGCGGCCTCGCGACGTCAGCTAAGCGACTACCAGACACTCGATCTGCGATGCGACGCAGCTGGCGGCGTCGTGTACGAACGAACAGCAGACCCTTCAAAGCCCGGGACGGGCTGCATCGGCGATGGAAAATTCTGGATCCAGTCGCTCAGCACGCGGCGACGCCCTGTAGCCCATCGTCCCCCTTCTCTGAACAGTTCCAAGTTTTGCCAGTAGGTCACTGTAGCAGTCATGGCTCCAGCTGGCCGATCGCTGTGCTGCCAGGGGCGGACAGGGCCCCTGGGCATCCACTTCCGCCCAAGCGTCATCGCCAGCGGAGCGGAACGTTGCTTCCAAGATTTCTTGGCCACAGCACGCACGTGACATGACAGGCGGGCACATGCACATCCATGATATTCCATTGCGCTATGTCTCATCTCAAGGTCCAAGGTCATGGCATTCTAGACCCTGCGCGTGTCATCAAAATCGCCTCGAATCTCTCCCAGCGTGACCATCGCGACCGACGGCTCGTCACCCTTTTACTGACGTCGCCGTGTTTCTCGGTAACAGACCATGCCGGGCTAGGCGCACCAACCGCAGTCGTGGCCGTGTCGTCGTTGTCGCAATGTGGTTTGAAATCATACGATGCTGCTTCGCATCGGCCCTACTCGTCCTCCAGTACAGTTTGCCCATCGCCTCCCGGCACCATCTGGAGCTGTCAGTAATGGCGCCAAACGAAACAGCCTGTTTCATACCATGCAAATGTTATTGCCGTTCAGTAGGATTTTGGGCAGCTCGACGTTCCCCTCGGCTGGGTCACTGCCGTCGCGTCAGTCGGACCTGTCCATGCCAAACCTGCAAAGAACCTTGGAAGCACGCACATCTCCGTCACATTCTCCAACACCATGTCTGTGTCTGTTAGAATAGTTCCATCTCCCGATTTCCCATATGTACTTACTGACGTAGTCATCGAAACCCACTAGCTTTCCAGTGAATTCCTTACCACCGTTCATGATGACCCAGATCTGCGAACCCACGCACTTGTCGATGAGCTCTGCAGTAATTTAGTCATGAACAGACACCCGGTCGGACAGAGACGCACCTAGCGGAAGAAGGTTCTCGAGAGACATGGTGACGTGGTTTGTTGTGAGCGGAGTTTCGGTCGTTGAATGCAACTGTCGCGTTTGAGGTGTCGGTACAATCAAGGTGGTGACTGCCCAAGTGGTGGACTTGATATCTTGGCGTTCAAGACCACCGCATCTGACACAGGCCGCGCTAGCCAACCACTGCTCGCGCCACAACAGGCAGCAAGCGTCCTCGTCCACACAATCGACTCGCACCCGTGGCGACCATCTCCTCCTGCCGGTGCCTATTGGGTGCACTACCATGGAGTGTTATGCTCTTCCGTCGACGCGCCTCTCTGCTGAGCGCGTCAGATGCCCCGCGGCGTGTTTGCCATGAGCCGCCTACCCACGCCTTCTTCTCCGTAGAGCGCCATACACAGTATTCCCATATACTCAGAGCGATGCACACTATCCCATTACGCTCGACACCTACCACCTCACCCACCTCGACCTGCCGATGGAAGCGGGGACGGCCCGTTCCTCGAAGCGACAACTTTCCTCGACGAATCCACAAGACTCCCACCCTGGGGCTACAACCTCCTGCTAGCCAGCCTACTACTAAAGACTCAGCCTCCATGGCCCGGGACCATCATCAAATACGTCAGGCCTCAGCTGCGTTACACGTACGACTGGCTGAGACGGCCGCAACACTGAGCGCTGACCGATTCCAGCGGGTGGGACTATGGAATCCAGCTCACGGACTGCGCTTTGCGACAACTGCGACAGCTGAGGCGTCGAATCCGGACATCCCTGAAGCCACAGAGACCGAATCCTCACCTCAAGACGAAGTGGCTGCGGCAGCCCGTACCGATGACCCCTCCCCGCACACCCATAACGAAGCAGGCGATGCTGTCGGACAGGATGGAGAAGCTAGTACGGGACATGTCTCGGAGAATGCAGACTCTAGCGACCTCTCGTCAGAAGGGGAGTTGGAAGCCAAGGAAGACGAAGCCAAGGACGACGAAGACGTAGATGAACACGTCTCTCTTACCTATCAGATCCCAGAGGAAAAGCTGCGTGCTGCAATGCTTGCCACTCCCCAAACTCGGGATAGTTATTGGAGTGCGAAGCTATACCAAGGGCCCGAGGGCGAAGTGATCTCGACCCATTACTGCAAGTCTTTCGACGTTGCTGAAAGGGTGGCCAAATACTTTCTACAAGAAAAAGTGGTGGGCTTCGACATTGAGTGGAAGCCTCGTGGAAACCCATATTCCATCAAGCAGAATGCGTCGCTGATCCAGCTCGCATGCGAAGATCGTATCGCACTCTTTCATGTGTCGCTGTTTTCTGGGAAGACTGTCGAGCAGCTGATGCCACCCAGTCTGAGGGCTGTTCTAGAATCACCCAATATTTACAAGGTGGGTGTGGCTATCAAAGGAGACTTCAAGCGCCTGGAAAAGTACCTCAACATTCAATCTCAAGGTGTCTTCGAGCTAAGTCGCTTGCACAATCTAGTTGAATGGTACGAGGTGGAGCCTAGCAAAGTCTCAAACAGACTTGTAAAACTCGCTTCTCAGGTGCTACAGCACCTCCAACTGCCTTTGTACAAAGGAGAGCGACTAGTCGACGATCCGGATACAACCTCCAGCGTCCGAGAAAGTGACTGGAGTCTGTCCTTGGATTTGCAACAGATACACTACGCGGCTGCCGATGCATATGCTGGCTTTCGTCTTTATCACATGCTTGAATGGAAGAGGACACGGATGAAGCCAGCCCCTCCTCCAGTGGCCCTTTGCGACTTTGACAACAAGCCTACTCCCAGGCCAAAGGTGCCTCGCAAAAGGGTAAAGGCAGCTACCAAGTCCGACGATGCAGCGGACGTAGTTGCGAAGCCGTCAATTGACGTGACAGAAGAGCAACAAGAAGATGAGGAAGACGCGGAAGGGTATGAGACCGCGACGGAGGAATTTACCGACAGTCATGAGCTCGAAGACGCACCAAACGAAACAAGAAAAGCTGTGCCCGTGGATGACTCGAACAAGGCCTCTGCGGCTGAGGCTGCGGTGAAGCTCGATTTGAACAGTGTTGAAGAAAGTGAAGTTTCTTCACAAAAGCGAGTTGGCCGTGTGAGCCTTTCTTGGCTCCAAAACACCGACCCCGGATACCCTGAGCTGCCCAAAACATCGCAGGAAGGGGACGTGGGCCCACAGTCTACCGGATTTTCCAAAGATGAGGTTGCCACGCAGATGGAGAAGCAAGGCCATGGTATTTCACGCCGGGAGCAGAACGATAGCGATGATGAATACCCAGACCCAGAGCTTGAAGATGCGCTTAGACGCATGTCTTTGGACGAAAGTGGGAAGCTTATCCAAGACGGGAACGACGCAGCATCAGAGCATACTCGCCCAACACCTACCATAAGCCAAGACGATCTGGGAACGCAGTCAGTACTTCCTACCCATCTAGCAACCGCTCAAGCTTCTAATACTGCCAAAGTGGCTGAGCCATCAGGTCCCAAGCATGATTCCCTCGATGTAGTCGATTCCGCCGTGCCAACACCAGCTCCGCAATCAAACATCGGCCTACTCAATGAGTCATCACGAACACCTGAGTACAACTTGGCGACGATATGGGCACAGGAACATCTTCAAGTTACTATTCCATCGCCTACTTCAACAACACCTTCACGCATACGCGCAACTGTGACTCACCTTCGCGCATATCACATGTGGCACTACCAGAAGCTCCCAGTCGAGAAAATGGCAGCAATCTTGCGAGATCCGCCGCTCTCGAATAACACGATTGCGAATTATATCTTGCAGGCAGTCACACTGGAGAGGCTTGAATATGAGGAAAACTCTCTTCGAAGTGTGTTACTAGCGCTACCTCCAGGGATGCGAAAGGGACGATGGAGGGGGCTGGCCGAGGAAGTTGGCGTGTGACATGAACACATCGACCGTAACCTAGACATTGACAGAGTATTCTCGAATGAACAAGCTATTCTTAGATGTTTTGGAAACGTGGGACGAAGTTGAATACGTGTTTAGAGGATTTGCGGTGTGTTTATGTGTTCTCTTCGTATTCAGACTTGTCAGTTTGCACATGGAACGCAGGACGCGGAAGCCATTCCGCTTTTGTCAACCAAATCGTGGCTCATCTTTACGCGTCTATGCTCAGCTCACGCGTCTATACTCAGTGTTGCGCGTCTATGATGTTGCGATACAATGTGATACGCCAATGATGTCCAAGCATATGAACAGTGGACACATGTCACGATGCAGCCATGGCCGTACGCACCAGGTACCATGTGCGGTGCAAACCAAGTCAGGGTCCAGACACGCCCGCACTAGGCAAACCCCACGCGTGCCAACCGCGAAACTGCGGTGAGGAGCAGCCATCCCTGCAGGAACTCCGAAATACATCAGGACAGCCGGCCCCTGCTTTGCTACGCCTCTGACTGTTCTGACGATCTTCGACCATCCCAATTGAGCTTTGTCTGTCCGCATACCTGTCAATTCAAGACTCACGAGGAGACTCCCACCATGGCCGCCGCCGCAGCTGTCTACCCCCCGCTCGACCAGCGCCCGGTCAAGAACACGGTCCTCCTGTTCGATGTCGACGACACACTCACAAAGCCCCGTCAAGTGTGTACACTCGATGCATGCTCAGCGATGCTTCTCTAACACCGTTGCAGCTCGTCACTCCGCAGATGCTGCAGCTCCTTTCCGAAGTCCGTCACAAGTGCGCCATCGGTTTCGTTGGCGGCTCCAACCTCGTCAAACAACAAGAACAGCTCGGCGGCCCCGTAGACGTTACCTCGCTGTTCGACTTCTGCTTCGCCGAGAACGGACTCACTGCCATCCGCATGGGCGAGGTCCTGGCTAGCCAGAGCTTCATCGCGTGGATTGGCGAGGACAAGTACAAGCAGTTAACCAAGTGGTACGTATGTACAGCAGGTTGTGGGGCAACGTTAACAATGATTCTAGGATTCTTCACTACATCGCTGATCTCGACATCCCCATCAAGCGCGGTACCTTCATCGAGTTCCGCAATGGCATGATCAACGTCTCCCCCATCGGCCGCAACGCCTCCACCGAAGAAAGAAACGAATACCAAAAGTACGATCTCGAGCACAAAGTCAGGGAAACCATGGTCGCCAAGCTCAAGGAAGCATTCCCCGACTCTGGTCTCACATACTCCATCGGTGGTCAAATCTCGTTCGATGTTTTCCCTACTGGCTGGGACAAGACCTACTGCCTGCGACACATTGAGGCGGAGAAGGGCCTGACTGGTGTCGTCTACGACAAGATCCACTTCTTTGGCGACAAGGCTTACGAGGGTGGAAACGACTGGGAAATCTACAGCGACGAGCGGACTATCGGACACAAGGTCAAGAACCCAGATGATACCTATGCGCAACTGTCGGAGCTGTTGAAGAGCTTCCAGTAGTGGGTTTGGACGCATTAATAACGATTCTGACGAAGCACCCACGGCAGCATCTTTCCGTCTGATATGAGGAAGATAGTACTGGCGATAGAGTACGACATGTAATGTGAACAAGAATCATACGATGCCATTGGTCGAGGGATGCATTCTAGGCTTCGATTTCCAGCATTCCCTCGCATCGGCATATGCCCAGATTTTGACTTCCGCGCAGTTGCCGCACTCCGTGACTTTAGTGGAGCAGCGTTGATCATTCGATAGTGACCTCCTGTGCACCAAGGCATTTCCCGAAGACCCATATCGGAAACAACAACCCGACTTGCTATCAAAACCTTAAATCTGCAGGGCTCAGCAAAGGGTCCGGTAGTGAGAGGCTTATTCATACCGCGCCCTGCTTGGTCACCATCAGCTTCAATACCGAAAGACATGCACTCCTTCCGCTATAGGCAGCTCGGAGCTGAACGTGTACTAATCAATCGTGTTGATGGTTATTGGCTTATCGTGTAACATGGCGTATGCAGGTACTCAATCCGATCATCTCCCCGCACCGGAGTACAGCCGGGGTCATGGCACCGGAAGTTAGACGTAGAGTGCAGGTTGTGATTGGGTCCATTCGCACCGATTGATACACAACACTGGTCTCCAAGACGGCTTTTCACAGCATGACATGCCGGTTAAAGATGCAGGCCACTTTCGCTGATCGAAATGCTAGATCTTGCATCTCAACACCGAAGCAAGGAAGCCAGATCTGACCAGGCAGCTGGGAGTATACAAGTACTGACAAGAATACGGCGACATCCTGGAAATGAATTGCTAACTTCTACACGTACTCCACCATGAGAGTACCTACAATTCCGCTCTTCTTACTCCCAGTTCTCGCGTCAACATCCCCTCTGCACCATGCTTCTTGCATTCCGCCACAGACTTCTTCCAACACTTCCAATACGTACGACTATATCGTCACCGGTAGCGGTCCAGGAGGCGGTACAATCGCCACCAATCTCGCTCTTGCTGGACACTCCGTTCTGTTGATCGAGGCTGGATCAGACGCTTCGTTCGATATCCGCACCCAAGTGCTCGCTCTGAATGACTACTCCAACACGAATGTAGCGTGGCATTTCTTCGTCAAGCATAGTGATGACGAGGAGAGATTGAATAGGTATAAACTGTTGGTTTGGAGGTTGAATAATGGGGAGTGTAAGTCAAAATCTTGGTATAGATGACCTTTGCACGTTGCTAATTCAAGTGATAGATTGGGTTGGAAAGGATCCTAGTGTTGATGGACATGTAGGCGCCGAGAGGTTGGGCGTTTTCTATCCTAGAGGTGTAAGTGACATCCTCCCCTTGCGAACTGCATGTGAAAGGTTTGCTGACTGTATATCCTGCAACGTAGGCTACTTTAGGCGGGAGTGCGATCATCAACGCGGCTGCGACATTCCTGCCAAGCGACAGCGATTGGGACTTCTTTGACCATGGAGTTGGGGATGGTGTTTGGAGGTAAGCCACCAACAGATCTCGCCTCTCAAAATAGTACTAACAATCACGCAGTGCCGAATTGATGCGGAAATACTTTGAGAAAATCGAGTACAACAACTATCTCGAACCCGGTACTCCTGGCCACGGCTTTACAGGCTGGCTCCAGACGAACATCGCTGATCGAGCTACCCATGCGGCTGAAGCACTCCGCTTCAAGGTCTTTCAAGCTGGATTGAAATTGGTCGGGAAAGATCCAGAAAAGGTACTGGACTATCTCACCAGCGACGCGAACTATCTTGATCCAATGCGTGACCAGACAGAGGGTCTGTCGTCACTGCCATTCCATGTCACACCCAACTGGAAGCGCTTCAGCCCACGCGACCGTATCTTGGAATTGCGCAACCTAACGACTTCGAATGGAACGCCGATGTACCCGCTACATCTTCAGCTTGAGTCTTTGACCACAAAGGTGCTATTCGACGAATGCAGTGGCAATGGCACAAAGCCGCGAGCAATTGGGGTTGAATACTTGCAAGGCAAGTCCGTATACAAGGCCGACCCACGTCGTAACACTTCCACCACCGGTACACTGCGCCAAGCTTTCGCTCGAAAAGAAGTCATCGTAGCTGGTGGTGCCTTCAACTCGCCGCAGATCCTACAGCTCTCTGGTATCGGGCCCAAAGCCCTTCTTGAGAAGTACAATATCCCTGTAATCTCTAACTTACCGGGTGTGGGTCGCAACCTCCAGGACAACTACGAGGTACCCATTTACGGGAACGCCCAAATCAGCTTCGCAAAGACACCTGATCCCAATGCACCTAAATGCACAAACGGATCACCCGGCGATCCATGTATCGAACTTTGGTACGATGGCCAAGGACCCTACGCGCGCGGCGGCACAAACTCAAACGCGTTCCTCCTCAAGACAGCCCATGCGGTCGAAGGCGAAAGGGACGAGCTGATGTTCGGCTTCACGGGTGGCTCCTTTACAGGCTTTGCGCCACCAACGTCTCAAAACACCACACGCTACCCTCCTACAACATTCTCTTGGTCCACCGTTAAGATTCATCCCCAGAACACTGCCGGATATGTCCAGATCCGATCAGCTGACCCGGTAGACACACCGGAAGTGAACCTGAATTACTTCGCCGAGGGCGCAGAAACAGATCTAAACGCCATGCTCGACACTGTTGCTTTCGTCCGTAGAGCATTTGCTTCCACCGAAGCACCGGTCGGCCCTGTAACACCTGTTTCTCCACCCTGTCCGCCTGCTGATATCCTTAAGACGGGCTACTGCCGTGACTTGCAGATTGATAAGGAGTGGATTCACGACCAAGTCTTTGGTCACCATCCCACAAGCACGAACAAGGTCGGCCCGGATTCTGATCCTATGGCTGTGTTGGACACGAGGCTGAGGGTCAGAGGGGTCGAAGGGCTGCGGGTTGTGGATGCGAGTGCGTTTCCTAGATGTCCGGGTGCATTCCCGGCGGTTAGTACGTTCTTGTTGAGTGAGCGGGCGACGGATCTGGTGTTGGAGGATGTGGGCAAGTGGTGAATTGGATGTTTGTTGTTGGTTCGCAAGGTTATAGAGAGATGGTGCAAGCATTGCAATGGCCATTCTACGAGCTTGACTGCGATAAAAGTGAATAGGATTTTCGAATATTTACAGTACAGACAAAAGAGTAATCGACGCGAATCTCTCATTGAAGCAGTGGGAAAGCAGCATGACGAATGTCAGCTCCAGGAGCCCTGCATTAACGTCTCTGGCCCTGCCTAGCAGCTTTGATTGGGCCTACAGGGAGCTGGGTCCCCACAGTGCCCTCCCTGCCGCGATCGACGGATTTGCTGTAGTTGCCTAACAAGGAAAGCCGGCCCTGTGGACAGGGCTTTGATTGGTGCGACAGGGACAGCGAGATCCACACTGCCCTCACTGCCCTTCCTCCCTCCCGCGATCGATAGTCTTTGCATAGTTGCCTGATCGGGAAGGCCTTCCTGTGGAGCCAATCAGGGCCTCGCCTACAGGGCCAGCGGTCTCCACAGTGCCCTTCCTGCTGGAATCAACGGTGCTCGGAGACCTTCCTATCCGGGAAAGACTCCAAGCAGACGAGGCTCTGATTGGCTCCACAGGGCTGGGGCTGGGAGACAGCGTTCCCGCGACCAAAAATTATTTGTCGCAAAGCGTCGAGCCCCAAACGTATCCGCCAAAATCACGCATTCCACAGCAAACCTACGTAACTCGAAAGCGCCGAATCCAACCGACTTCTGTAACTGTAACAAAACCCACAAAATGAAGCTCCTCACCCTCAACTTCCTCACATGCGCCATCAAAACCTGCAAAACCAACCCCGCGTCCTTCCCCCTCCACCCCCGCGATGCCGAACTCGAAATCGTAGAAGCAGACGTCAACCTCGCCTTTCTCAAAAACATTCTACCGAGGATAATGTGGGATGAATTGAGGGGGATATGCAGCGAGGTATGCGACCAAGAAAACACCCACTAGGCGCGAAGCACATGCGCATTGCGTCTCCAAAGAGATACAGATATTCAAAAACTTTTGAATAGAACGCTGACGTATATGTGAATTGTAGCTTGGTCTCCCTGAACTCCCCGCAACAGCACCCACGCCCGCCGATCTCGTCGAACCTTCTTCTTCCTCCGCTTCAGCATTAGATACCACGGATGCGACACCAGCGGCCACGACGGAAGAGATAGAAGAGGAGCCTAGCCAGACAGCGAAGGATCTGCACAGGATATTGCTTGAGACGTGTATACAAGAGGGCAAGCTGGTGTGCGGGGCATGTGAGCATGAGTATGCGGTCAAAGAGGGGGTTGCGAATTTCCTGTTGCCGGGACATTTGGTATGAGTTGGGACGGCTGAAATGAGGTCTCTTGGTTAGACATCGGAGTGCAAGTGGAAGATGCGTCTATCGAACAACTACAAGCGCGACTGGCAGTCTATGGTAGACTTGGTCTGAAGAGGGTGTACAACACTATGATGCCGTGGGCACAGTATGAATGTTGTGCACCAACAGGGGAGAACGATGACCGTGAAAGAGGAATGGAGCTGGTCGGTGGGAGCGGTTACTTGATACCCTTTTGATTGCGTTAACCCACATACGGGGGAAAGCATTGTGCTGCACACGAGTCTGAGGTCTCTGCGGCCTGAATCGCTTGCAGAAGCATCACCCAAGTCAAATGAAACATCGATGGAGGGCAACGCGTTCAAGAATTGAAGCTACACTTTTCCCTAGCCAAAATGGTATCTACGATATGCGCCCAAACACCCATACGATGGCACTTCTACCAGCAAAAACTTTCAACTCTTACGAGCCGAGAGCGCGGTTGATCTGCACCCTCTTATCCTCACCACCCGAGACAATGCCCACTGCGCTATCCCATCTTACGCTGAAAACCTTCGCGCCCTCTCCATGACTCTTGGCAGACTCGCGACCTTGCCTGTAGATCGTGTACACACTCTCACCAGTCATTCCCTCACCAACCTGACCACCCGTGCTAACATTCCTGAGATCCCAAATTTGAACGGTTCCGTCATGCGAAGCAGACGCCAGGTTGTATTCGGAAGATGGATCTGTGTCCAAAGAAACAACACCGTTCTTGTGACCTCGTAGTGTCATGACACTGATTTGCGTGGCAGATGCGCGGGGGTCGACCAATGTAATGTGTCGTGCTGAGGTACCGGTTGCAAGCAGGTTTCGGGAGGGGATAGCGCATAGAGAGAGAAGCGAGTGACCGGTCGTTCGGGTGTCAACGCACGACTGGGTAGGCAGATCCCAGGTTTTGAGTGTGTGGTCGTGAGATGCCGAGTATGCGACAGTAGCATCATCTGGTTTGAAGATGACGCTAGATACCGGCGAAGTGTGGCCGCTGAATGTAGCCAGTGCTCCGCGAGCGGGGACCGTGCGATCGGGCTTTGAAAGCTTCTGTCGCTTGTTCGACGCAGCCGTTGAACTGGGCAGGAAGTTCGCCGGCGCGACGGGGTTCTCCTTTGCGTTGCTCGAGAACAACGAGATAGTGGTATCCGAGGAGGCAGAGAGAATGCGACTCGAAGGCGCATGGACTGCGACGTCTTCTACACCCCAGCGGTGGTTGAACAGCTCGAGAGCTGTGGTGATAGTCCTCGCATCGTCGTCGTACTTGTAGACACGGACGGTGTTGTCCAGCCCTGCAGCTACCATCTTCTTCTCCGATAACCATTTAGCCGTCTTCAAGCTTGTAATTCGACCACCGTTGTTGGGAGCCTCTGAAGTCGCCAAAACATCGCCCGAGGTATTCCACACTCTTAACAGTCCATCATAACTCGCGCTCAATATCCTCTCTTGCCCACTTTGCACTCCTGACAGAACATCCACGGCCGAAACCCAGTCGTCGTGTTCGAAGCTCGTGACGTTTAGCGGTGGCACCAAAGCCCTCGTGTATTCAACGTCCAGCGTCGATTCGGCATTGATACCATTCTTCGTGAGGAATTCGTCGATTGTGGTCCGGAGGAATTCGCCGTTGATAAGGATGTCAAAGGGTATGCGACTGCCGTCATCGCGGTGCAGGAGTTCGTTCACAAGTGTGGAAAGCTTGTGTCGAGTCAAAGCTGTGGGCGCATCCGCGTTAGCTCTGTATCTAGACGGACTGCGCAGCGTTTTGTAGCCTGAAACCACGAACTGCAGTCGCGACGGTTCAAATTACTGTGCGAGCATGCTGCAGTAGATGGCTAGAGGCCGCGACATGCGACTAGGCTTCCGGTAGTTCTACTCACATGTTTGAACCAAGAGGATGTTCGGCTCCTCCGAAATCTGCAGAGCAGCATCGCGCGTCGTAAGGCGAATCTGCACCTTGGTCTCTGCGGCGTCGATATCCATGGCGTCGGCGGGTTTGGCGGTATATGTTGATTGGTGTTGGAGTTACGAAGCTTAGGAAATTTTGGGATCTCGAACTTTTTTTCGAATCCGGTTAGCGCGGAAGAAGCCAGCCAGTCGGCGTTCGTGAACCTCCGCTCGTGGTATTATAGATTATGTCTTTCCAGTAGTTCAATTTATGCAGAAAGTATCAAAGCCGGCTGATAGTTGGGTATAGGTTTTCGGTGTTTCAGAAGACTAACCGTAAACTAGGGTCAATCTATCACTAGAGTACTACGCATGCGCTCAAGAGGAAAGTCGTGTGTTGTTTCCTTCACATAAATTGTCATTTACTAAGTCATACTGGTTCTCCTGATCTCAGCGATAGCTCTCCTCCGGTGATCACTAGGCGCGAACAGAGCCTCGATCAATCCAATCACCTCTTCAGCTTCCATCTCCAACTTCAGCTCGCCGTCCGTCCAGAAATATTTGATATCCGCAAGGCTGCTGTCCAGAATTTCGCTGAGATACTGGAACTTGAACCAGTTGGGCGTGTAGATACCGGCCATGTCTCTTGTTTCTCCGTTGCCATCCTCGGTCTGGAAGTGTTGGGATAGAGTAGCAAGCGAGACACAGTACCCGTGTAACTTCCTCGACTCATCTTCTGCAATATCTGACATGTCCTCGACATCGTTGATGAACTTTGTGAGAGCTGCTGACACCAACGAGCCAAGTGACTGATGTAGAGCGCTATGTGAAAGTACATTCTGCCACTGTCGCTTCACATCACCTATGCGATCTATCGTCGTAGCGATGGCGTCATCACAGACCGTAGCGAACGGAACGTTCGTACAGCCTTGGAAGCCTTGCGCATCTTCAAGATGATCCCGGATGATCTGTCTTTGTGACTCCATCTCGCGTCCGTATGCACGCTTTCCAAATCCGTCGATCGTCTTGATGTCAGATTCGATCAGCGGTTGGAGGCGTTTGGAAGGTCGCAAGTGCTGTGGCAATGTAGACGATTTATCTCTTTCAGCTTGTTCTTGAAGAAAGAGTCGCAGACGATCCGATAGTCGCTGGCAGTCGTTGTAGATGAGCATGTTACTGGCGATATCTTTTGAGTAATGCATCACAGCAGTAGCTCGGTACATTGCCAACAGGAGGCTCGGAATCGCATATAGACCCCCGCTCGCGGGTGCGATTGCAGACTTGACCAGCTCGGGTGAGTTCAGCGTGTCTACTTCTGCAATGACCTGCAAGATTATCTCCATTATGGCATCTGGGATCGCTGTCACTGTATATGTCTCCCGAAGGGTGACCTCCTGGTGTGCCGGCTGTTTTTGAGAGGCAGGTTTTCCGTTCGTATTCGATTGCTCCGTTGTATGTGCTGCAGGCTTCGGCGTTGTGGTGGGTTTGGTATCGGTCTCGTCATCCCAATCAGCGCCCCAATCATCTGCATCCTCTGCATCAGCTGGCTTTTCTTTCACCTCTTGCTCTTTGGGTTCATCTCCAATCACATCATCATCCTCACCCCAAGCACTCATATCTTCTTCTTCTTCGATAGTCTCCTTCTTCTCTTCTGCGACATCGCCCTCCTCATCCCAATCAGCAGCCCAGTCATCCTCTTGTTCGTTGCCAGCATGCAATGCATCTCCCTTTGAGATGACTTGCGTCTCGACCCGTTCAACAGTCTTCTTTTCTTGCACCT